GAAGGGGCCTTTCCCTTCCTCCTGGAGAGCTGAGCCCCACTCCCACCCCAGCTGCTCTGGCCCCGCCCACCAGCCTGTTCCCCACTCCCTCATCTCCTAGTAGGCTTGTCTAGGGTGTCTCCCAGAAATCCTCAAGGACCAAGGCCCAAAGGCAGATTTGCCTGAACTTCTCCACTCTCCTTCCAGTCTCTGATCTGTCTCCTACCAATAAGGGAAACGGAGGTGTTTTTTTGTTTGTTTTATTTTTAAACGTGTTTTGTTTTGTTAAAAAACAAACAAACAAACAAAAAGCAGGATCTTGTTGTGAAGTCAAGAAAACTGGCTTGCATGGTGCCGCGGCCTTTTTAAATCAACACTGGTTCCGGAATGAGCGGTGTCCTTTATGAGTGGCTTGCAGGGCTGGATTCTCAGGGCCCTCCAGCCCAGGCCTGTGTGGATGGTGCCTCACCTGTCTGCCCTCAGGGCCCTTGCTAGTCTTTCCTAGAACATCCCTGGACCCTCTCCTCTCTTGGGCCTCAGTGCAGAGGTCACCTACTGTACTCCTCGGCTCCTCTCTGTTCTGCACCAGTCCCAAATCATCAGTCCCGGCTCACACTGGGCTGAATTCTGAGAGCACGGTTTGGACTCCCCCACCCAAGGGCTTACATAAGACAGGCAGTGGAGACTTCTTTCCTGGAGCCCCCACCTGTCTAAATGGGGCCATCCCTGCTTCCTCCTGAGGCAGAGGAGCAGCAGGGTCCAGCAGTGAGGTCTGGGAGGTGGATGAGCCTGACTTCTGCCACCCATACAGGACAGCCCTTGACCCTGGATAGATACAGCCCCCCTCTGAGCCCCAGAGCCCTCATCTGGAAATAAGATGCAGTAATAACAACTAACCACTGTCAGTCCCTCTGGTGTCTTAGCCACAGTTTCTTTTTTTTTGTTTTTTCGAGACAGAGTTTCTCTGTGGCTTTGGAGGCTGTCCTGGAACTAGCTCTTGTAGACCAGGCTGGTCTCGAACTCACATAGATCCTCCTGCCTCTGCCTCCCAAGTGCTGGGATTAAAGGCGTGTGCCACCAACGCCCGGCTTTAGCCACAGTTTCAATATCCTGGGTTGGATGTTCTGACATCCATTTTGTAGATGGGGACATTGAAACATAGGTGACTTGCTCAAAATCAGAAAACCCAGGCATACTGGAGCCCAGCTCTGAACCAACCCAGCCCAGCTGCATTCCTTTGATCTCTCAGTAGCCTAAAGAGCCCATGGAACCCAACAGGGACTATGTAGAAGGCACTCAGAGGCCAAAGCCAGGTACATGCAAGAAAGAGCCTCCTGCTGCTGTCAGGGTGGTGGTGAGGAGTTATGGGGGGGTGGGTAGGGTGGTGATATTTCAGATCATTTTGGGATATCCCATTTGGAGGACCTGCAGATCCACCAGGGGTCCCGACTTTGCAGATGGGGAAACGGAGACCAGAGAGGCAGGATGACTTGCCCAAGGCAAGTAGTAAGCAACAGGGCTACCCTGAATTCCCAACGGGGTCTATGACCCAATCACCCAACATGGGCACCTATAAAGATTGGTGGAGACCCCCAGACTGACCTTGACATCCTGCTCCAGACCACGGATGAGTTCACCATCCACCTGGCCTGTCTGGGCAGCACGGAGGCTACGGCGCTCAGCTTTCCGCAGCCGGTACTGCAGGATACGACAGGTCTTGCTGGCTTGGTCCAGCTGCTGCCGCAGCTCCTGTAGCTGGTACACGTCTTCCTCCATGTAGACATCCCGCATTTCCAGCATCTCAGCCCGCAGCTCCTCAATCTCATCCTGAAAGATGAAAGAATGGTCAGATCTCCATATGCCATGACAGTGGACAGGGTGCCTGAATGCTGGTCACACCTGGCAAGCAGACCTGGGGGCCTGGGGTTATAGGCCGGATAACACCCAGATGGCCACAGCTGAACTCCCAGAATTAAGTACATGATGCCTTCTGTGGCAAAAGGGGCTTTGCAGATGTGACTAGGATAAGATGTGACTTCCTCCAGCTGGAAGCCTCATCCTGGACTATCTTGAGAGGGAGGCTAGAGCAAGTGAGGAGGAAGCAGAGGGAAGACAAACAGGCCCTGCAGGTGGGGAAAGGGCCAGCAGCCAAGCAGTGCAGGCAGCCTCCACAAGGGTGAAACTTCCACAAGGGGCGAAAGGCCAAGGATGGGATTCTGCCCTAGAGCGCTCAGCAGATAGGCAGCCCTGCTGGGACTTGAGTTTCAGACTGCAGATCTGGAAGATTTGGATCTAACTGTTCCCCCAAAAGTCACCTGCTATAGGCTAAATCTTCCTTGTGGCTCTACTGGGAAGTGGTGTGCTACTTTTAGGAGGTGAGGGCGCCAGGTCATTGGAAGGTGCCTTTGAAGGAATACTGTCCCCTCCCTCCTTGCTTTCTGGACACCATGAGGTAGGCAGCCTCATGTGGCCACACACTCCCTGCCATGATGCTCTGTCACAGCAGGCACAAAGTGAACTGAAGCTTCCAAAAGATGAGACAAAGTACAAAGTATGACATTCCCTCCTTTTAGGCTGGTGACCTCAGGTGTCTTGTCACAGGGATGGAAAGCAACAGCAGTGCCTTGTTACAGAAGCCAGGGGAAACACACACCAGGATGCACTCAGCATCCATGAGTGCCAGCTGCATAACTGAAACCATGCTGCGCACAAAACCAGGGAAGCGTGTTAGGAGCAGCATGGTCGCCGTCTTCCTCCCCAAGCCTTCTTTCGAAAACACAGCAAACAACAAATTCAAATACTATTAAGTCACGGAGGCAAAAAGAATAAAGTTAACAATATGACAATCTGAGAAATATGGCAGGGCAGGGATGGTCAGGGAGGCCATTTCCAAAGAAGGGACATCTGAGCCAAGGCAAGAAGCAATGTCCACAAGAGTTCCAGGAAGAGGGAGCGGTGTGCACCAAGGAAAGAACTCAATGCATCAAGATACACCAAGAGGCTAGAGGAGTCACGCACACCTTTAACCCCAGCACTCCGGAGGCAGAGGCAGGAGGATCTCTGTGAATTTGAGGCCAGCCTGGTCTACAGAATGAGTTCCAGGACAGCTATGCTAGTGAGACCCCCACTCAGGGGGAAAAAAAGGATACATCAAGGGACTGGTGGGTAAAGATGGGTCAAGACCAACAAGCCTAGTTGCCCGAGTTTTATCCCCAGGACCCACATGGTACAGAAGAAGAGAAAACCAACCCCTATAAGCTGACCTCTGACCTCGTCATGTGTTCTGTGGCACACACATTCACACATTTAATCTTGACATTTGGGAGGAGGCAGAGAAGCAGCATCTCTGTGAGTCCCAGGCTGGCCTGGTCTATATAGGAAGTGGCAGGCCAGTCAAGGCTACATAGTGAGACTCTGTCTCAAAACATTTCTTTTTTTACTTTGGTTTAAAAGATAGGGCAAGAGTCAGGTATGGGGGATATGGAGTTGAAGATCATGAGTTCAAAGCCAGCCTCAGATGTCTAAAACACAAACAAAACATGGCATGAGTTCAAGTGACCTCACTCAGGAGAGCAGCTACTGCCACTCTGTCAGCAGCTCCCATAAGCTCCTTGCCTTCCTCAGCTCATCTGAAATTCTGTGTTGGTCTCCCAGTGAGCACGGGAGCCTGGAGGGTCGCCCCACCTGACTGGCCCCCACATCTACCCTCTGCTTGGCCTCCTGCAGACTTCCAATGAGTATTACATGAATGAGCAAAAGCATGCCTAGCTAATGAAGAAAGAACAAGAGGGAGGGACTTCCTGCTGCAAAAGGGGAAGGGGAGTAACTAGCAGACACTACACAGAGGGCCCTGCTGACACCTCACAAAAGAAACACATAATCATGTCTCATAGCAAATATGGAACCTGAGTCGCAAACATGAGTGATATTGTTAGCTTAAATAAGATTGCACACAGAAGGGAAACTGAGTCATCAGGGATGACAAAGGCACTCCCCACATAAGCACTCAGGGCTGGTACTGATGGAAGCAGGGAGGGAATCAGGAATAGAAAGGCCAGTCTAGAGAGGGGACCAGATCTGGGAGGCTGGAGTCCCCTAAAGGAGATGGGAATAAACCACACCCTTTGCTAGCCCCCCCCCCCCCCCCCCCCCCCCCCCATCCACACACGCAAACAACCACACCCAAGTTCTCCCTGTGGGAAAGGGGTGTGGCCTGCTGGATTGAGAGGCAGGTAAAAAGCCATTTTATCCAGGCCACACCACACCCCAGGGGTCCTCACATCCATCTGCCTGGCTTCTGGAACCATTTCTCAGAACAAGGGAAAGGAAGACAAGACAGAAGTGACAAACTGGCGGCTCTAACCCCTACTTGCTGCCTCCCTCCACGGACAGCTAATCAGTGTGTTACTGCTTCACACATCAGACTGGGCCGCAGGGGTGTGTTCACCATCACTAGATCTAAAGTGGGTGACCCTGCCTTTGGCTGCAGAGGGGCAGTCACCTCGGTGGACACCCATCCCAAAGTACAGTCACCACACCATGTCAAGTGGGCCGACGGGAAATGGAAAGGAGGAAGTGAGACTGCCAGTGAGCACACTGGTGAGAGAAATGGGGACCTGAGGTGTTCAGCTGGCAGAGAAGGCAGCAGGAAGTAAGGGGCAGGAGATGCAGGCAGACAGATACATCTACCCGGTCCAGGCTGCAAGGGCCCATGTTCAAATTCAGCCTTGCCATCCGTGAGGGGCTCACACAGTCCCCTTGTTCTGACAGAACACGGTGACTGGGAGGATGTGAGGTCTGAGTGACTCTCTAGGTCACACGAAGTCAAGGGGAGCCACGGGGGCATTCCCAAACTCATGCTGTTGAAACACATTAACCGATGTACGACGTGGGGACCCCAGTAGGCAACATCCCTCCTTATTTAGTTTTCTAGTACCTGGCTTTTGTGAAAGGGGTACACGATCAAACAGAAAGTTCTGAAAATTACAGAAAACATCAATCATAATTTCTCTACCTGGTTCTGAATTACTGTGGCCCCCAGGGATGGTGGTATGGCTCGCTGGTAGTGTTTGCCTCACACGCTCGAGGATATGGGAACCTGATACAAGACCCCATATTCCCATCCAGACCTACTGAGTCAGAAACTTAGGGGGTGAGTCACCCGAGGGATTCCCCACAGAAGACAAGAGTCCCAACTCACAGCCCAAGTCCCTGGCCCTGGGCCTGACTAGGGCATCTAGTGAAGAAGTGAGCGAATGACTGTCTCTGAGCAGCTGTCTCTCAGAGGAACTGCCTTCGCCACAGTGCTGGCTGTTGTGGACATGCCAGCTCTGTATCTGAGGGGGGTTGGGGGAGGCGCCGAGGCCTCTGGGGGCTTGCTCCAGCTGCAGGCAAAACACCCACCAACCCCTCCTGGCACGGCCCCATGTGAGCCTTGAGTTGACAAAGGCAGGCTTGTGTCCCACACGGGCTTCTCCTGGGATGTGGGCAACAAAGACTGGACACTGCAGAGCTTAGGCGGAGACTCTGGGTGTCCCGGCCTGAGGTGGGGGCAGGGAGAGGAGGTGCTGGGGAAGGGTCCCAGGAACACAGGACTCCGCTTGGCCCCAGAGGTCAGGTGTCCACACCCAACCCAGGCATCTCCTGAGCATCTGGGTCCTGCAATCGGGGTTTTGCCTTGAGAGGCTCAGCAGCGGAAGGTCCAGCTGGAGAGAGTGGAGGCACAGGCCTCCTGGCTTCTTCACAGACAATCCAGAGGCCCCAGAGGTGCCACCGCTTAAACTCCTCTAAAGCACACCAGGGAAGGCTCAAACTCACAGAACAAGGTTCCTGGGTTTCCCCTTCCCAACACGGGGAACCTCATGCCAAACCTCATCCTCTACCTCAGATGGAAATGGCTATACTGTGCAGCCACTTTAGAGTCTGGGGAACCCCGATTCTCAACCCTGAAATGAACTGGATCAAGACCCCTAGACCGTGTCAACCCTAAGAAGCTTCCGTGCGGCCCTCTTTCCCTTGAAGCTTAACCCAGACATCTAAGCTCAGACGGCATATGGGGGAAGAAGGAGGGCGGGGTCTAGGGACAGCAGCCCCAGCATGATCTTCCCTTTTCAAAATCCTTGCCTCTGATTGGAAGACAATGTCTATTGATTAGAGGAAGTCTGAAAAAAGCAGGTGGTTTTCTGGCTCATTCCACTGGCTTCTATTTCAGGTTCAAGCCCCTGACCCTTGACCCCTTGCTATGCTCCAATCTGTTCCCTACTCTATCTTGCACCTACATGCAGATATGCTAGGACTAAAAGGCTGGCATGGCCTACAGAGAGGCTCACCCCAGCCCTGTGAGGGAAGCATTGAAAATGTTCCCATTTTGCAGAGGAGGCTTCCGAGCCTCAGAAGTTTTCCAGAGCTGCTCAAGCGAGGGAGGGGTGAAGCTGGATTCCACACATGGCCCTAGGCCAGGGCACTAACAGTGCATTCTTCCAGCTTCTCTCAGGCTGTTCCCTATACTCTATCAGCCTTCACCAGGCTAACTCCCAGTCCTCCCTTCTTTCCAGAACATCCCTCCCTCCCCTAATCTGATTCAGAACCTATACTCTGAACTGCATGGTCCCTGATGGTAGCAATACAAGGTTGTATTTACTGCCCCAAGGAAGGGCAGGGCAGGGTAAGGCTGGGTCTGATCTATGCTTGGTTCCCAGCATCATTAGAATAAGGAATGCAACAGGTATCATAGGTACCTTCTGACCCTTTGACCCCAGATCTAGGGCTTGTGAGAAAGGGCAGACAGAGCCCAGTGCCACCATAGGAGGGTGACAAGGTCTGCCTGC